CGAAGGATACGCGTGCCTATTAAGAAGGACAAATTACGCTAGCGCATGAGAATTGCATCCCTGGTTAATGCCGCCTGTGACGATTGAGCTGGGTTCTTCAACGTTAAGTACTTCGTTTTATTTTCTTTCCGTGTTTTGGATAAGCGTGGACCGCGCCTTTGCAAGCTTGTTTAAGCCCTTCCGATTACATCGGATAACACTGTTTAACGACGGTCTCTCGGTCGATCGCGGTTAAGATCGCAATATCGATAAGCCGAGTATCGGCTTACACCACGCGTAAACGCATTAATTATATTTCTACCGATTCCGCGTTGTGTTTTACTCGAAGCGCTTCGTCGTACAATCTTATTTTCGGGAAATTTAGTGTTTTTGCGGTGCGGTTAAATAACCTTGATATTTAATACGCATTGTTCCGCCCGTTATTCGAGTCACTTTGAGTTTCCGTAGCAATAAGTAAATATTCTCGGGCGAGGCATTACCTGCCTTTCATTATTATATTGCAATTTATTAGCTTCGACATTGCGTTGCGTATTATTCTTCTTAGTTGTTTAAGATTCCGTGTGTTGTTTCGTAAAGATTTATTTTAACTGGCATCGTTGCAAGTTACGTTCAAGAATTATATGTTCTTTCGGGCTTTTACGGTATAATTTTAAAGCTACGTCTCTTTACAAAGTCAACACTTTCGTAGTAGTCCGAGAGCCCACCGCAAAAATTTGGGTCCATCGCTTTTATGGATAAATTTACTTGCAAAAGGTAGTTTATAAGTCGTATTATCATAAACGATTGTCAGCCAAACTCGTACCCTCTGCGCTATGAGCAATAAAAATTTATTAACAATTGGATTTCTAAGCGATTTGGGTCCATCGCTTTTATGGACGAAACTTGTTTCATTCGAAAGGGCATCAAATTCCCTTTCAGAAAATACCCGGTTGATTTGCCCTGGCCCCTGCAAAACCCAGGCTGATCATGATTTTTGACTCAATGCGCGAGTCAGATCGAGCGTGGCGTTTGAAATGCGCGCCGTAAACAAGGACAGAGCGTCACGCTTTTATTTATACTTTGGATACTATCTAATATTATAAATTTTTAAAGATCATAATTGTTGTTATTGTTATTATTTAACGTTTA